ATGTGTAAATATGAAATGGTCTAGATCAGGGGTAGGCAACCTTAATGAAGTGGAGAACTACCTGAAAAACATGGGAGAAGTCAAAGATCATCGGTGCTCAATGTCTCCCAGTGTCGCCTCCTCACACCTGATTTAAACCTGTCATACTACCGTGTCGCAATCATGGCTTTAAATCAGGTGACCTCCTCACCACCTTGTGAATGAGCCCTTAGTTGCATTCGGCAGCAGCCCCTTGAGGGCTCATTCACGCGTAAATTTGGTGTGTGTTGAAGGGCGGTGAGTCGCAGTTTTACAACCCCTAATCCCTACCCCCTGTAGCTGCTGAAACAGCAGCCAAGGTGTAGACAAGCTGCAGCAGGAATTAAATGCCCCTGTTGCTTGCCAATCACGACCCATTAATGTAAATGTGGCCACTCTGCAAGCGCCCTGCAACTGCATGCTTCTACAGGGTCCAATGGGTTAAAGCAGGTGGTGAGAAAGAAACACAACGCTGCCTGCTTTAACTTCTGTGCTGCACTGCACAAGGTTGTAGGGCACGTGCAGAGTGGCCTTATTCACTTGAATGGCTCATGCTTGGCAAGTGCTACACCCACCAACCATGACAGGGCGTATAACTCCCACTGCAGCTGTGACATGTGTACACCCCTGGCCACTGCAGCTAAAGGGGGTGCCAGTTGGGGCAGGAAGTGGTAAAACCCCTATAAGACTGCTTTCACACTGATGTGCTGTGATTTAACTGCACCGCGGGTGCAGCAGAGCGCATCTGCAACTTTCCTGGGTTAGCTGCACTTTGCCATAGACTTCTATTATATCCTGCAGGTGTGGTGTGCTTTCTGAAGGCACACCAAAACTCCGGGAGTTTTCTGTGCGCTTTCAGAAAATGCATCCAAACCCGCACAATATATAGTAGAAGTATATTGCTAAGCACAGCAAACCCACAGGAAAGCTGCAGGTACACTGCACTGCTACCATGGTTTGGGTAAACGGCAGCACATCAGTGTGAAATCAGCCCTATACTATTATGTCCAGTGTATTGCTTCACGCTGTCATGAAGATCTCTTCTTTTCTGCTGCTGGCCGGGATAAGAGGTGGAGTACAGTTAGTATCACTCTGCATTGGACAGGAGCCAGAACTACAGGAGGCACTGGCATATAAGGCTCTTGTTCCCTACTACAGCTCCATCTTTACAAGTTGCACCTTGTTTAATGCTATGGGATGGTGGGTCAGCAAACCCAGATCACGATCTACCAGTCACCTGGCCACGATCTCCTGGTAGATCGCAATCTACTGGTTGCTGACCCCCGATCTAGATATAAAGTGACCTTTAGGAGAGCAGGATATGGAATGGAGATAAACATTTTAAGTAAAAAATCCAGTAAAACTATAAAAAAGGGATAAATAGCCTCTTAGAAAATTATCTTATAAGGCTTCATGAACACCGGGCTTTTCTGAATGCTTTTCTCCTGGCAGAAGAAAAGCAGCGGAAAAAAACGTTCCTAAGCTGCAGTTTTTCAAATGCCTTTAGGAACATCAAGCCACGGAAATGTAAAAACACTCAAGTGCTAACCGTGTCTAGCGTTAAATGTGCATTTAACCATATCAGGTGTGTTTTCTGCCAAAACGTTCCTCTCTTGAACGCACAATTGATTTTTTTCCTGCCTCTAAAATTCCTGTAAACTCCTATAGTGTATATGAACACACAGGTAACATGAAGGGGAGTTTAGAAGCAGAGGGGGGAAAAAAAAAACAAAAAAACTCAAAAACGCTTGTAAAAACTGCGTTTTTTTTGCGCTCAAGTGTGCATGAAAGCCCAGTAATAAAAGCGAAAAATTATTTTAGTTCAAGACGACAATTTTAGTTCAGTAAGAAATAGGTAAATGCTGATGGTCATTTATTGCAGGAAGGTAGATATTTGTTACCATGCTTCTGCCAACACCTACAACCTGTTAAACATTGTTTAAGACGGATGGAAGGAAAATCTCCAACAGACAATTTTATGATTTAAAAAAAAAAAAAAAAAAAAAAAAAAAAAAAAAAAAAAAAAAGTGTAAAACGTACTTGGCATCAACTCCACCAAGCACTTTTATTGCATGGCTTCCAATCACTTCCTGACGGAGATAATATAACATTCGAACACGCAGCAAAACCCTATAAAAGCACAAATGAAAAGAAAGCTATAAATCAATAATTTATCTCACACATTTTAACTATGCAAACATATAGGTGATAAAATCTAGTAAACAATTTTAAAAGATTTAAGCATGTATCAAGAATTAGTTCAACTTACTCAACTTGGTCATACACAGACAGGGTTAGTTGCATAACAATCTCTTAAACACTTCAAATCTGGACACTTTCACCCCCTTCCAAGTACAGTCCAATTTTCAGCTTTTAGTGCTATCACACTTTGAGTGACAATTACTTAGTTATGCAACTCTGTACCCATATGAAATGTTCATCCTTTTTAAGAAAGAGCTTTCTTTTGGTGGTATTTAATTACCACTGGGTTTTTTTTATTTTTTGCTATATAAATGAAAAAAAATACCAAAACATTTTTTAAAAAATATTTTTTGCTTAGGTTTGTTATAGAATTGTGCAAATAAATAATTTTTTTCATACATTTAGGCCAAAATATATTCTGCTACATTTCTGGGGTAAAAATAACCCAAAATAGTGTATATTATTTAGTCTGTGTGAAAGCTATAGAGTCTACAAACTATGGGATACATATGCAAAAATGTTGGTATGGCAGTGATCGGGACGCTGGCGTGGGGTTTGGCGGTGAGCGGGGCGCTGGCGTGGGGTTTGGCGGTGAGCGGGGCGCTGGCGTGGGGTTTGGCGGTGAGCGGGGCGCTGGCGTGGGGGTTTTGGCGGTGAGCGGGGCGCTGGCGTGGGGTTTGGGGGGGTGAGCGGGGCGCTGGCGTGGGGTTTGGCGGTGATCGGGACGCTGGCGTGGGGTTTGGCGGTGATCGGGACGCTGGCGTGGGGTTTGGCGGTGATCGGGACGCTGGCGTGGGGTTTGGCGGTGATCGGGACGCTGGCGTGGGGTTTGGCGGTGATCGGGACGCTGGCGTGGGGTTTGGCGGTGATCGGGACGCTGGCGTGGGGTTTGGCGGTGATCGGGACGCTGGCGTGGGGTTTGGCGGTGATCGGGACGCTGGCGTGGGGTTTTGGCGGTGATCGGGACGCTGGCGTGGGGTTTGGCAGTGATCGGGACGCTGGCGTGGGGTTTGGCAGTGATCGGGACGCTGGCGTGGGGTTTGGCAAGGATCAGGGTGCTGGTATGCGGTTTGGCAAGGATCAGGGTGCTGGTATGCGGTTTGGCAAGGATCAGGGTGCTGGCATGCGGTTTGGCAAGGATCAGGGTGCTGCTATGCGGTTTGGCAAGGATCAGGGTGCTGCTATGGGGTTTGGCGAGGAACATGTTCCTCACTCCTCCACTCCTCCAGCACCCACCTCTCACCCTCTAAGCAGCTGTGTAGGCTCCAGTGGGAAAAATAAAAAATGCACATTTTTTTCTTAAAGGTGAACTTGGCCTTTAACCTTTTGCCGCCCAGCCATTGGCGGCTGGCAAAATCCCTCAGCGTTCCGGGTGGACGCCATATGGCGTCCTCCCAGGCATGCGCAGTTTACGCGCCTGCAGAGCCATGTAATCTGTCACCGGCCGTGTACCTCAGACATGGCCGTTGACAGATCTGAGTACCGGCCCCGTTGCCGGTACCATGTGACCTGCTGTGAACAATCACAGCAGGTCACATGACAGTTGTATACAATGGATGGCTTCATTCATGCCATCCATTGTATACTAGTGTGCCTAGCTGTGAATGGTCACAACGATCACATGCACAAGCTGGGCCAATCACAGCCCAGCTGTGTCATGTTATTTGCCATGGCCAAATCACAGCTAAGCACAAAAAAAAAAAAAAAAAACCCTGAATGAAAAATCGACGCAATTCAGGTAAATGCTTGCTTATAGCAAAATAATTCTTTGCTATAAGCAAATTTTGTAAAAAAATAAAAAATAAAAAATACTGATCACTTCCCCAAAGTAGTACAATGTTACTATAGTAACATTGTACTACTTTGGTCATAGTGAAATATGAAAAAAAATCTTAAGAAAAAGTAATAAAAAATTCAAAAAAAAAAAATGGTGACAGTATGCAAAAAAAAAAAAAAAAAAAAAAAAAAAAAAAAAAAAGGAAAATAATTTTAATTTTCCGAAAAATGACAAAAAAAATACAACTTCAAAAAACCCGCCATGCCTCTTATGAAATACGCCGGACTGTCAACTCTGCAAAAAGGGGTCATTTGGGGATATCTGTACTGTTCTGACATTCTTGGACCTCCAGAAATTAGATTGGCTGTCAGTACTTCAGGATTGATCAATTTTCAGATCTATCCCATAGTTTGTGAGCGCTATAACTTTCCTACAAACTAAATAATACATCCTAATTTGGGTTATTTTCACCAAAGACATGTAGTAGAATACATCTCAGCCTAAATTTATGAAGAACAATTATTTATTTGCAAACTTTTATAACAGAAAAACAAAAAACGTGTTTTTCGGTCTTTTTTTTGTTAATTTAGCAAAAAATAAAAATCCCAGTAGTGATTAAATGCCACCAAAAGAAATCTCTAGTTGTGTGAAGAAAATGATAAAATTTTAGTTTGGGTAGTGTTGTATGACCGTGCAATTGTCATTCAAATTGTGAGAGCGCTGAAACCTGAAAAATGGCCTGGGCAGAAAGGGGGTAAAAGTGCCCAGTATTGAAAAGGTTAAACACTAAATGTTCAGATTAGATAAATGGATCATAGGACCTGATTGTTTGGAATGCTAAGATATCTGTGTAACGACAATTATCAATGTTTTAGCTGCTAAAAACATCTCCTTACTTGTTGCACTGGTGCTTTAAATGCTTCTTGTAACCCTCATCTTGAAACAGTGTGTCAGGGTTGTATTTGCGAATCCATTCTGCTTTGTGAATATCAAAGCTGCTCTGAGACTTTACTTTTTTTCCCTTGCGCCCGCGAGGTACAGGAATCGAAAGACCTATGCGTGTAAAACACAGAAAATCAACATAACGACCATGTACATTAACTAGTCTATTTATAGTTTTGGAACAAGCAGTAAAATCGTGAGATGACTGGACAGCCAGAATCAGAATTACCTGAGTGGTTCTGCAGCTGCTTGGTTTTGCCATTCTCTGCAGGACTGATCAGATCCCAAATAAAGCTTTTAATGTTCTCATCTCCACGATAGTGCAATAGACAGTAAACTAAAATGGCTCGGCAGATTTTCTCCACATCTCGTTCTGTCATACCTCGTTTGAAGCGACCATGGTTTAATATGTCACGCCACCGACCCCATCTAATAAAGATTGGGCAATGCAAATTATTATTCAACAGCATTGTACAAAAAAACTCCAAACACTTCTCCAGAAATCCTACACAACCCTTCTAAGATGTACATAAGATGAGGGACAAGAGTAGTTTCTCACCCATAGACAAGAAGGTGCTTCTCTACTCTAAAGCAGTCTGTACGACCATAACCATTTTTGCGGTCTTGCCGTCGAGCTCGTGGGCGGTCATCGTCATCGCTTTCTAGATCTGAAAACTCTACCATATCATCATCCTTATTACTGAAGTGCCGAGTCTGTTTCCTGATACGGGGTGTGTCTATCACCAGTGTGTTCTGTAAGAAAGAACAGCTGAATTACTCAAGGTTTTCACAAGTTTCTGATTTCTTCAGTTCAAAACAATATGAGAAAAACCCATTTATGCCTTTTTAAAGTGTAAGTAAACCCCAAAAGTGAACTTTTCCTTTTTGTTCCCTCTTAGTCTGCTAAAAATACTAATTAAAGGGTTTTATTTGTCCTATAAGTGTAAATAATACCGGTTTATTCTGCCAGAAATATTGTGAGCTGATAACTTCCTGTACTCTGCCTGTGCACAGTGATTTATGAAGATCATGACATTTTTGGTTTACGTGTAAAATCCTTTTCTTGCAGTATATCACAGAACACAGGGTTATATTCAATTCTATAACCTTCAGGTGAATGGACACAGACAAAGACACACGGAAACACACATATACACACACACGGAAATCCCCCTCCCAGGCAAAGCAAGGTTTCAGTTTTTGTAGCAAACCATAAACTTCCAAGAAAAGAATTTAACAGGTAACCCAAAAATCCCATTGTTTGTCGCACATCCCAGGACAAAGGGTATCTTCACCTCCATTATGGTGGGGATGTCCCAAAGCACAGAATAGGAGGGAAAGCAAATACGGTAACAAGCTAACAGGTCTAAAAAAAAAAAAAAACTAAGCAAGGATAGGTTAGAACCTCATGCAGCAGCCTAGAAAACTTGGCAACCAAAGGTAGCATCTTCAGTAGCTTTAATACCCATGTTGTAAAACTTTGCAAAAGTATGAACCGAAGCCTAGGTAGCAGCTTTACAAATTTGCAAAAGCTACCAAAGCCCAATGACAAAACAGCCCAGGAGGCACTTCCACTCCTGGCAGAATGAACGGTTACCAAAAAATTGCAGCAGTCGACTTCAGTTAGATACCATGAGACACATTGAAGGTGTGATGACAGCACCAGCAAAAGCTCCTGACAGTAAAGAGCGGACATTTCTGAAACTGTTCAAACCAAAGTAATGGCAAGCAGAAAAAGTGACCTTATGACAAGTGTTAATGGAATATGTCTGATGGGTTCAATATGTGATTGCTGCATTACAGCAAATGGAGGTCCTACAGAGTCAACGAAGGCTTAAAGTATTACTAAACCCAGGACCCTGCATTCACTATATCTAGTCTCCCACACAACTTGGAAATGCAATTATTTTAGTAACTATAAACTGATAAATACCTTTTCTCATCAGCAGTTTTGTGACTTCAGCAGAGCACTGGTTAATGCATGTAGAAGGAATTTTCTTACTGCTCTAGGATGCAAAAGCCTGGGACCTTCTGTCTGGACAGTGCTGATTGGCCCTGTGCTGATCACATGCACTCTCCCCCAAAAAAAAAAAAAAAAAAAAAAAAAACAAAAAAAAAACAAAAAAAAAAAAAAAAACACACAACTCTCTAGCAATACACACTAAACTGAGCATATGGCTACAGGTTCAGTCTGTTTTATCAGGTCGATGTCTGAATTTAAGGAGGGGCAGAGAACAGGATCTAATAGCCTTTTTACACAATGTAGAGGAATAATCCCTTAGGTTCCACATTGAGTATAACAAGCATGCTTTACTGCATATACAGACTGATTCTACTGTTGTGGGTTTAGTAATACTTTAAAAAACGGAGGAACAATACACACCTTGCACAAAAGCATGCAGCATAAAATGTAAAGCAATCGGTCCCTGAAAAAAAGTCTGCGAAGGTTGAAATTTCACCCTTGTTCGTACTGAAGACTAGTCTCTGATCAAATCTAAACTGGAGAAATACCAGGAATCAGCCCACACCATATACTTACGAGGATGAAATACTCATGCCTCACACCAGCCAAAATAAGACTTCCAAGCCCTGATGTACATCTTCCTAGAAGTTCCCTTCTTAGCTTTTAGCAGTGTAGGAATAACTGAATCACAGTGACTCCCCTGTCCCTTAAAGTATAACTAAAGGCAAAACTTTTCTTTTTAGTTTTGGACAGAGTAGAGATGGATTACAACACCTGTCAGAGAGGGTGAATCTCCTTAATAGGGGCACAGACAGCAATAAAAAGCAATAAAAAGCAATTTGTCCTGTTTACCATTGTCACTGAAAGTAAAAGAAATTCCCACATTTTGGATTGTCCCCAGAAAAGTAATAGAGGGGAAATCTTCCATTAGAGACACTAGTTCTGGTGACCAGGGGGTCCCCAAGGAATACCCTTAATTTGCAGGGATTTCCTCTCACTTCCTGTTTAGCTATGTGACAGGAAGTGACAGTAAATCTCTGCAATGGGACGCAGAAGGCGAAAAAAAAAAAAAAATCTGACAGGGGTTATAACCCTCCTCTACGCTGTCCAAAATGGAAAAAAAAAAATTGCCTATAATTATATTTTAAGACCCTGGCTTCTACAACCAATGCTGTTAAAGTCAGTGACCGTAAAAAAAAAAGGTGGATAAAATATCAGACCTCCAGACAATCGATCGGGTCAATCCGGACGAGTCCAAGGGTCATCCAACAAAATGTTTAAAATGTGGGAATCCTCCCGCTGTGCGAATATATTCTGACAGCGGGGAAACTTCCCCGCTGTGTCTTTGTATTCTGACAGCAGGTAGACTTCCCTGCCGTCAGAATCCACTGATCAGTGCTGCAGAGTGGTTAAAGAGAAGTCAATCAGTGCACTGAAATCTGTTCAACCACAGTGGCCATATATGGATCGAAATTTGGCTGGTCCCGGCTGAAACTGCAGAATTTTGATCCATGTATGGCCAGCTTTAGTGAACTCACTCTCCATGGGGTATACTGAGCAAACTTTTGTTGGAAAGAAACACCTTGCCAGGCTAAGTTCACGCTAGCTTTGTTAGCAGGCGTTTGGGAAGCGCTTTTAAAGGCAACTCTGTCTTTATTAGATTTTGTATCAAATTAAACAGTACATAGCAAGAAAATAATAAGGACAATGGAATGGGCAAAAGAACAACAACATAGATAACAGCATGATCCATGGGTGGAAAGCGCTTTTAACGCTCCTCCAGCGCCTATGAAAATTCTACAGATGGCAGCACAAAGTGCTGTTGACACTGAAGCGTTACGGCAAAATTGACACCTCATGTTGAGTCAGGAGTTGAAGCCTCCCATTCAAGTCTATGGTGAAGCTCCTCAAACGCCTGGCAGGCGTTTGCGGGGCGTTAATACCATTAAACGTCATTATAGGCGTTTGTGGTGCCTCAAAAACGCGCATAGGGCATTAAAAACACTTCCCAAGCACCTGTCGAACGCCTGTGAAATGCTATAGAGGCATTTGGCAAGAGTTAGAAAGTGTGAACGAGCCCTCAGGGTGAATCCAGGCCACATACCATATCCTTTAAATGAGGATCTACAGAGAAAGACTGAGAATATTGTGGAGGATGCCATGATCCAAATCCTGTAACCTTTTAGTAAAGGATTCAGTAAAGCGGTAAATTTAAATTAATCCGGACAACTTCTGCAAGAAAACACACAAACACCTTTTAGGTCGGAGATGAACTTTTGCCCTAGGGCTCTTCAGGAGTACAACCTGCAGAGGAGTCTTCTTCTGCATCCCCTTCTACTGGACTAGCCAAGTCTTGTCTCGTGCAACCTGCCGTCCCATGGACAATGAACTGCTGCGACCTGTAGTCCTACCAGGAATGCTCTGCTGATCTCACGTGGGGATCCAAGGTGGCCACAGCCCTAGAGATCTGCCCCATCCATGACGTCCCCGTTCGAACTGTGCATGTACTGTTCTCAGGGAGCCCTTGAAGGCTATACAGTTATGCACCAAGCACTGTACACAGTAAATAAAACCATACAGAGAACAACGCTTCCTGTCCTGCCTGGGGAAGATGGGGTCAACCTTTCAGGTCCATCTTTGCATGTCCAGAGTGGGATCCAGGTACCATTCCTCTGACCATAGAAAAATGGATGAAAAAAAAGAGCTAGTCTGCTAAGACCAGATGGAACCTTTGAGAAACTGTTTTTGTGCATCGACTGCACAGGCATTACCATCACCTAATAGTAAAAATACTAACGCCTTGCCTAAAGAGGAGGGTTATGCCTAATAAGTGATTTCATGTCTTTTTACCAGTGTCCAATCAAGTGAAGGAAGCAGCATAAGCCTAACATAAATGGAGATGAAGATACCCTGTGTCCTAGTAATCAAGAAAAGGAGGGGGAAGAGGGGAGATGAGAGGTCTGTGTTCTTTGCAAGTCATCATAAATGAAGAAAGTAGGAGTAACACACATCCTTAAAAATTCAGCCATGTTGTCATGTCAAAAAAGAAGGTAGGGGCATACAATATTTCTGGTACACAAACAGTTTTTGTCCTGTGCATACAGCATTTTTTAAAGCGATAAAATGTAGAAAAATGTGCATGTATTCCAGAGATGTACTAAAGTGTGTATGGCAATCGCCGAGTAACACTGACAGGGGAGCAGAAAAATACACAGCAGCATGTTTCCCAAGTAAAACACAGCACATTATGTAAAACAGCACACAGCTAAACCTTTAATGTTAACCCCTTCCTGCCCAGTGCCATTAGTACAGTGTCAGTGCTTTTTATTAGTACTGATCACTATATTAGTGTCATTGGCAGTTAGTCAGTTCCCACCCAGTGTCAGAATGCCCGCCACAGTTCCGCAATCCCGCTATAAGTTGCTGATCACCACACACATATACACCAATTAATTTACATGTATTGGGATTTTTGTTTAGCAAAGACATGTAGCAGAATACCTTTTGGCTTAAATTTATGATGAAATTTGATTTTTAAAATTTTTTTTTGTACTGGATATGTTTTATAGCAAAAAGTCAAAACTAGAGAATTTACCCCCCTTCCTGATTAGACCATTTTTGGCGATACAGCAATTGCACGGTCATGCAACATTGTACGTAAATTAAATGTATGTCCTTTTTTTCCCCCCATGAATAGAGCTTTCTTTCGGTGGTTTTTGGTATTTGAAAAAAGGAGGAGGACTGACAATTTTTAAAAAAAAAAAAAAAAAAAAAAACAAAATATTTTTTTTTTTACTTTTTGCTATAAAACTTTTTAAAAAATAAAAATTTCTTCATAAAAATTTAGGCCAAAATGTATTCTGCTACATGTCTTTGCTAAAAAAAAAATCCCAATACGTGTAAATTAATTGGTTTCCGTGAAAGTTTTTATTTTTACTAATAATGGCAGCGATCACTGACTTATTGCGGGACTGCGGCAGGCATTCTGACACTGGGTGGGAACTGACGGTCACTGACATCCCCAGTGACACTAATACAGTGATCAGTGCTAATAAAAAGCAGTCACTGTACTAATGACACTGGCCAGGAAGGGGTAAACACCTGGGGTGATCAAAGGGTTAACTGTGTGCGGTGTTGTGTTTTACTGTGTAGACAAGCTGCTTTCTATTGCTCTGCTGTGCAGAGCAATAGAAAGCAGCCTGTTCCTGTGGACAGGGGAGAGATTTGTATTGTTTACATACAAACCTCTCCTGTTAGCTGCACCGACTATCACCAAGTCCCGGCCAAGAATTGGCGGCCAGGACCAGGTGATTGACATGCTGAGGAGCCAATAGCGGCGTGGATAGGGAGTGCCTGCCCCCTACCTGGAAATGCAAAATCATGTATACACGTGATTTTGCACACCCCTGCTGCCCTGTAGCAGTACATCCTCACATAAAGGAACAACTTTCTAATTAATGACAGCCATTTGCACCTGTGTTATGGCTAGTGGCTTTCAAAACTAAAGAGCAATACCTACTATTCCTATTCTAACCTTATCTGTTCTTGGACCTCTATGTCTGCACATTCATATTATTAATAGGAATATTTCTGCACTCAGTGACCCCTTCGTAAGTATAACAGTTAATGTCACTTAATTATTTTCTTAATTTCAAATCATATTTAAACTCACCTTACTGTTAAGCAGATCTAGATCTAAATCTGCTTTTTTAGCCCACTTTTGCCAAAAGTTAGGATCATCCAACGAAATATCTGTCCTGTTTTCAGATGCTACAAAACTTGCCTGATACAGAGAGAAAAAATGTTACCAAAAAACACATGAAATTTCTCAATATTCACTATAAGGAAAATTCCTCTAGTTCGCCTCTAAGCATAGGCTCTATATGAGCATGTGAGTAAAACGTACCTGAGGAAACCACCCAAGTACTTTGAAATCAATTGTGTAATAGCATCCACAAAATTTTTTATGTATTTTCTATTTTTTTATATTAGAAAAAAAGAAACAAAACAAAAAAACACAACTGATGAAACATATACTATATACAGTTATTCTATAGCTATAACAGATACCAACCTTAGAGAAGGTGGAACCTTTGCCTTCAGACTCTATTGTTATGGTGGTAGTTCTTCTCAACAGAATTTGATCAATATCTTCCTCGCAAAACTTAGAGCCTTCATCATCTTCATCCATGATGGCTGCATAAGCACCTTTCCGAAGTAAGTCTTCAATCTCCTTCTTTGTAAACTGCTGGATGGGCTGTAAATGAACATAAATAGCCATTTATTCATTTAGTATATTTATCTAGTTTCTAGCATTTCAAATAAATAAACAATCTATAGTTTTTGTTTCTGCTGATCTCTATCAAATATCATACACACCCCGCTAAGGTGGTTGTCCCGTCCACTCATAGACTGGAGTACAGCTTTGTCAAGTCCTAACTTCAAGCTAGCCTTGTCAAACATCTCTCTTTCATAGGAGTTTCTGGTGATCAGCCGGTAAATCTTAACAGCCTTGCTCTGACCAATCCGGTGACAACGTGCTTGTGCCTTAATACAAGAAAAGTCTTATTAGCTTACAAATATTATTATTATAATACAGTATTTATAGAGCGCCAATAGTTCACTCAGTGCTGTACAATTCAAAGGGGGACAGAACATGTGACAGAACAATACCAATACAATACATGAGGGGATTGAGGGCCCTGCTCTTTCGAGCTTACAATCTAGGAGGGAGGGGATGGTGGCACAGGAAGAGATAGCTGTGGAGGATGGAGTGGTAGGAAGAGTGGAGGAGGTCGGCAAGTTAGCAGGGGGTGGGGTAGGCTTCCCTGAAGAGATGGGTTTTCAGGGTGCACCTAAAGGAGAGGAGAGTAGGTGATAATCTGATGGGTTGGGGCAGGGAGTTCCAGAGGATGGGTGACACCCTGGAGAAATCCTGGAGACAAATATGACTAAATACAATCAGAGAAACTTGGAAAGTGCACTAGATTTTTAAAGCTGCAAGTTACTAACATCATGCAGACAGACCGCAACAAATCTGGTTTTATCTGGACTTGCCGAAATCAAGAAACATAGCATTTATTACCTCAAGTTACTACAAGCAGATAAAATTCAGTACAGCATCTCACACCCAGAAAAAAGGGTTATGTCCAACTCGCTTTTTCATGCTGACAGTGCAGGTCACAAAGAATAGAGGTAATTCTTCAGCAGAGAAAGAGCGGAGTTTTTTTTCTGGGTCTATGTATAACCTTCAGTGGAGGGTCCACACAGTTTACATCCCCATCCCAAAAATTCCTAAAATGAGAATGAGGAGCCTCTAAACAAAAACAGGGATTGTTTTAGGATTACATTACATGGCCAGTCTGGATGCAGTGATTGCTGGTTGTCTTATATAAGCTAGTTACTGTTTTCATTGTCATTTCAAGTACTTAACTGCAGTTCTATATAAGAAAGAGAAAAAGGAGTGTAACAAAGATAAATGACAGGGATATCTGCGTATACCTGAAGGTCATTTTGCGGGTTCCAGTCAGAGTCGAAGATGATACAAGTGTCTGCAGCGGTGAGGTTGATCCCCAGCCCACCAGCCCGAGTACATAGCAAGAATACAAATCGATCAGAGTCTGGGCGGCTGAATCGATCAATTGCTGCTTGGCGCATATTACCACGGACTCTACCGTCAATTCGTTCATAAAGATATCTAGGTTTTAAAACACAAATTGAAATTTAAGTCTTATGAATTAAATTTCAAAGCCAAACCTTTAAAATATTATGCGCTACTTAAAGTGCAAAATATATACTGCATATTCAGAAAAGTTATTTTAAGGCTTTACCAACTGAAAACTCACTTAAAACCCATAACATGTATGCAGGCATGTATATATGCAAAACAAGAACAACTCTTGGCTTGGGTTTTTAAGGTGAAAGGAGCATTGTAAAAGGTTAATAGAAATGGGTGAAAAACATCCCACATACAACTTCAGAAATATTTTGACAATTTTCCAAAGCAGAGAGAGTGAGAACCAGATAAAGCCTGTGTTTGTTGTAAATTTACATGTATAGGTTGTAGAGTATTGAATTCTTTACCTTCTCTGAATGAGATAATCCTCTAAAATATCCAGGCACCGCACCATTTGGGAAAAGATAAGAACCTTATGCCCTCCAGCTTTAAGCTTGGGTAGAAGTTTGTCTATTAGAACTAATTTGCCAGAGGAGCGCACCATTGCTTGTAAGTGGAAGTCAAGAGGAATCACTGGTGTCGCTTCTCGGAAGTCAGACATTATCTTTTCTTCCGCTCCTAGTTATTTAAGAAAAAAAAAAAAAAAAAAAAAAAACAACAGGATTAACATGAAGTAGAACTTCAGGCCAAAAAAATGCAAAAATATTTAATACCTTTTTAAAAAAGTTATACATGCATGTACATATAAACTAGGCAAGCATTAGCGAGTATGTGAAACCGAGGAAAAGAAAAGAATTTTAATATAAATGAAAAAAAAGTTGCAAAACAAGAATGTTCAAAAAGAAGAAGAAGAAAAAAAAAAAAAAAAAAAAAAAAAAAAGAAGAAGAAAAAGAAGAAGAAAAAGAAGAAGAAAAAGAAGAAGGAAAAAGAAAAAGAAGAAGAAAAAGAAGAAGAAGAAGAAGAAGAAGAAAGAACGGAATGAGGGAACTAGGGTCATGTATATAGTTTTATCATACCAGTGATAAGATAGGGATGGTTGCAGCACTTGCGAAGCTCCATCATGGTGTTAAGTAAGTTGGGAGTATTAGATGGCTTTAAGATGGCTTGCAGCTTTTGCACCTGAGAAAGACAGGGAAAATGTCTAATACAGACATGCAACAGAACATTATTATTTTCTGCATACTTCCAAAATGTGGTTTAACAAAAAACCAGAGCCAAGAGTTCTCTGGTTTGTTTTGGATCAAAAATCACCAACCACAAAAAAAGATTAACTTTTTGATAATACAGTCTGAGCACTGCAAAGCTTGGGCGTGTCCAATAACAGATGTCAATATCATGCAGCAAAGTGAAGGAAAGAGTAACAGTCCATCACATAGGTAGACGGGAATAGGAAAATCTACTGTACATACTGTATCTCAGTTTCAGTGGATGGCTATGTTAATGCCATGTACCTGCTCCTCAGTTTTAAGGTCTCCAAAATCCTTCAGAAATTCTGCTTCAGAGGCAAACTGACTAGGCTCTAGGAAATGTAATAGACTAAACAGCTCCTCCACAGTGTTCTGTAATGGTGTCCCAGTCAAGAGGACCTTGTGCTCCTAGAAAATTCCAAGTGATTTGACAGTTTGTATTCACAATTTTAGAAAAATGGGGAAAAAAAACTCAAAATTTACTATAAAATTATAAACTCACTAGATCCATGTGCTTCAAGCTGTCCAAAAGCTTACAGTTTCTGTTTTTCAAACGATGAGCTTCATCAATAATGACGCAACGCCATTCAATTTCACGTAGCTCAGGGCAATCAGAAAGCACCATCTCAAAAGTTGTGATTAAAGCATCAAACTTGTAAGCTCCAGGAATGAGACGACCCTAAAAAGTAAGAGAGGTTAGTGCTATCAAAGAAAATGATAGTGACACTTGACACAAGGTACTACAGATTATAGCTGGAAACAAGGCAACTCCTAAAGAAATGAAAATTGAGAATTCCTTCAGTGAATAGACGAGGAAATACTTAAGCTACACAATGCACACAAACTGACCTTTGAATCTTTGCAGTACATCTCATACTGTTGGATCATTTGTCGGCTGGCCAAGCTGCCATGGTAAACAATGGTGTTCATTTGAGTCCAGCTTGCAAACTCCCTTTCCCAGTTGGTAATAGTGGAAAGAGGAGCAATCACTAAGAAAGGGCCTTGCACCCCAACATTATGCACTTCCTGCAGAAATGTGATAGACTGGATTGTCTTGCCTAAACCCATTTCATCAGCCAGAATACAGTTCTGCCTGCAGGAACAAAAATGTATTTTAAAGTCATTAGCCGAATTAGTCACATTTTGAAAGGTCAATTTCAGTATATTTAAATCGTTAAACACCTGATGATCCCACAATGAGGGTCTTTGCTAAAGGCATTTCCTCTTATAGGTGACAATGCTCTGTCTGTTGTTGCCTAATTGGGCTCCTGCATTGTCACCCGGTCTCACAGACTTCTGATGGAGACTAAAATACACATCATCGAGGGATGATCCATTGTTGTCACCCTTTAGGAAACCCACTCCAAGAAATACAATGCAGACATGTGTATGCATGTTTACAGGAAGTGGCTACAAAGAGCCTGTAGAAGATCAGTAGCACCAAGCTATACAATGCATGGGAACTGTTAATGATATACAGTGTTGTAAGCAAACTAAATGTGTTGTAAGCAAACTAAATGTAATTCTGTTAGTGTTTGTATGTACCTTACATAAATAAGGTATGGCTGAACAGCATAGCAAAATGGATTTCAGAGCCATGCTATCAGATAGACAATGATTTATTTCATTGAACAAAGTCTCTTTTTGGGACAGAAAATGTGGGGAGTCAATTTTAGACACCGCGATCAAAAAAAAAAAAAAAAAAAAAAAAAAAAAAAAAAAAAAAGGGAGGAGAAATGTTATTTTTCTACTCCAATTTTTTTTTCATAAAATGAAAAAAAATTGGATGGAGTAGTAAAAAATAAACTTTTTATTTTTTAATAAATACTATCACAAAACAGCAACCCATCAAAAAAATTATTTTTTTTTTCTCACTGTAAAATCTTTCTTGGAGTGCCATGAGGGACACAAGTCATATATTGACAGATTACATTGCCTCCTATAGTAGTACAGGATGCTCGCAAGAAAAAAAAAAAAAAACAAGACAGGTGGGACCAGTGTTTCTCAAGGATCCCAAGAAAAGGATTTTACAGTGACCCAATTTTCCTTCTTGTCCATTGAGGGACACGGGAAGTCCAAAAGCAGTCTAAGGGTGGGCAACAGCAGACCTTAACAAGTCCACAAAAAAAAAAAAAAAACACAACAAAACTGGGGACTCAGAGTTGCCAGAAGGACCTCACATCTGAAATTGGCATCAGATGAGGCCTGTACATCTATCTGGTAAAACATGGAAAAAGTGGAAACTGAAGAACAGGCGGCAATCTTACATATCAGCAACACAGTAGCCTGATGCCAAAGGACCCAGGAGGCACTATCAAATCTAGTAAAGTGTGCCTCAACCACTTCCCGGAGAGAACACAGCACCGAGTAAAAGCACCACCACATTTTACATGCATGCGTTAGAATAGCACATTTAACCCTTTGATTGCCTCTATTAACCCTTTAATCGCCCCGTCACTCAGCCAGTGCCATTAGTACAGTGTCAGTATATAGAATTTTTCACTGATCATTGTATTCCTGCCACTAGTGACATCAGATAGCATCAGGGTCAGTAAGCGCCTCACCCAGCCAGGGTCAGCTAGCGTTACATTGCCCGCACACTATAGGTCGCTGATCACCACCATTACTACTTTAGTTTTTGTAAGGATCAACATATTGATCATGAACAGAACTATACCAGTGCCTCCTTTGTATAGTGTTCACAAAAATGCAGAGTTAGTAGGATCGGCCCTGTTCGCTACCAGCACTAGCATTTTAGCCCCTCTGCTGTTTTTCACTGAAGATTTGTATCAATTGATTGTGGGCCAAGGCAATTTATACGCACAATACATGGCCGCCCACCCAAATTCAGCTCTTGCCAGACAATTTGCATAGAAACCTCTCACCGTTTCTGAATTTAAAACTCTTTTGGGCCTAATCTTCAACATGGGCATTACAAAAAAGAATGAATTGCGGTCATGTTTATCCACAGAGCCAATTCATCATATGCCCGTGTTCTCTGCTGTTACATATATGCCCAACATGGACCAGAAATGTACTGGTATGTCGCTGGACTTGGAGTGGTTATACTGGGATGATGCCTGCAGCTACAGGCATCATCCTGGTATCGTTTTTCTTCAAATGGTGGTCGGCTTTTATGTAAAAAACAATCCTAGTGGCCCTTTTGACTATGTCCCAAATGAGTGTATATACTTGTATTTTGCACTACCCCTTGGTCCTATTATATACTGTTTTGCTCCTGTGGATTAGCCTGCTACCCCTTTATCTTTTATAGCGTCATGGCCTTTCTTACGTTCTTGACATGGAACATCCGTGGTATGAGGGCTCGACCTAAGTGCACTGCAATCATGTCCCACCTAGAATCTCTGAAGGCTGATGTGGCGGTTCTTGTGGAAACCCACGTCACTGGTCAGCTTCAGATGGCCCTTAAAAAAACCTGCTTTTCTTTTTCAGTTAGTTATGGACTTTGCAGGTGGATCCACACGGCAGATTTCTTTTTTTTACATGCTGTTCTCAAGGAATCTTGGCATACTATATCCCTCCCCCCTTCCAGTTTGCGGTATTCACTGAAGGCCTGACGTTCATTGCATGTCATCCTGGTATTCTTGCAGAGTGGTTGGGGGATTTTAATATGATTATAGACCCTAGTTTGGATAAATTGGATTATGACCCCTTTGTCCATCCCATGTAACTCGGTTTGGTAAATTTTGATGGAATTTGCGCTGGTGGACACCTGGAGACACTTGCACCCCATGACCAAAGCTTACTCCTCCTTTTTGGCCTCCTACTCCATGATGTCTCACATAGACTATATATTCATATCCAAATCGCTACTATCCAAGTTGGGTTTTGGCCCCGGGTATTGTCAGACCATGCTCCCTACTGGATGACACTCAGCCAGTCTTCTCCTTCCCCTATCTATATGTGGAGGTTGAATCCCTTCTGGCTGACTGTTCTTCCAAATCCAGAAGATGTACAGACCGACTGGGGCTGTTTCTTTGCAACTAATGAGGGCTCGGCTGATTTTGGTTCCATTTGGGACTCCTTTAAAAATTGCATGCTCGTGGTGTTTTGGCGTGCCGCATCTCCAGATACAAATCTACATCTAGCTTAGCTGTTCGGCGGGCGCAGGAGCGTTTACTTGACCTAGAACATTCGTTTCAAATTAACCCTTCGGGTGAAGTCGCTTTATTGGTCAAATTGCAGGCTCGTCTGGTTAATCATCTCCTCTTTGAGAAGGTTAAGCAACATATTTTTTCCATGCAGGGAATATTTGAGCACAGGGAACATGCTGGTCGTCTTTTAGTGTATTTGGCCCATTTAAACCTTCGGCCCCCCATTGTGATCTCCCTGAGGGGTGCCTCAGGTGTCAGTATCACTGACCCAGACCTGGTGGCGGAGGCGTTTTGTAATTTTTTTTCTAGTCTCTATTCCTCCACAGTTCATGACTCTCCAGATGAGCTACCCTCACCCCTTCTCAAGTTGCTCTTCTGGAGGCTCCCACTTCCACGGACGATATTGCTGAGGCTATGTCCCACCTGTCCCCCTCTAAAGCACCAGGCTCGGATGGACTCCCGCTGGAGTTTTACACCTATTTTCAGGAATCGCTAATTCTCAGTTTACATTCCTTATAGCAACATATCTTTGAATCCGCCTCCCTCCCCCAGTCTATGCACGAAGCTTTAATTGTCCTCATCTCTAAACCCGGAAAAGGATCCCTTACTCCCCGAGTCGTATCGCCCCATCTCCCTCCTGCAATTGGATATTAAGATCTTGGCTAAGGCCCTGACCTTGCGCCTAAATAAAGTTATACTAGATTTAATTCATCCAGATTAGGTCGGGTTCATGCCAGCCAAGAATACAGCATTCAAT